ACCTTCTCTTTAGCTTAAAAATTTCTTTGATAAGGAAGTCAGGGGTGCAGGTGGATATAGTTGCCGGTCCCTTGTCCCTGAGACTTAGATGGGTTGTTCTCTGGGGATACCATGGTGAGTATCTCCCATCCCGCTGGGCCCCCTGTCTTTATACAGGAACACTTCTGTATGGCCAAGGGGAGAACATGTAAAACCTCCCAGTCTTCTCTCTGCTCTCAGTTTATGGTTCTTTCCACACGTGTCCTGGCAGTAAGACTTTGGGAAGTTTCGGGTGGAACTGTGCCTCCCTCGGGCTGGGGCACGGCACGCTGAGGCCACTGAGCCCTTTCAGATCAAAGTCAGAGGAGGCGTTGGCAAGCGGGGAGAGTCCAAGCTGGGAGTCCGAAGGTCCGATCCTTCACGGATCCGTGACCTTGAGTGAGCCGGGGTCTCAGCTTGCCTTCCACCATCTGCTCACGGGGTGGGGGGTGGGGGGGGCGCGACTCTCCTCACCCAGCTTCACGCTCTCCCCGCTTCCCTCCCTCCCAGAGCTGTTGTGCGTTCAGAGCAGATAATGGATGTGAGGCCCCAGGGTTCCGTGTAATTCTGATTAATATTAATGATTCGACATGCAGTTGCCTGCTGTGTTCCAGGCCCTGGGCCAGCTGCCTCTTCGTGCGGGGCTGCCGCGGGGAGAGCGCTGGGCCTCTCCCCTCCACCCCCCCCCCCGCTGAGCATCCTCTGAAGGGGGTTCTGATCTCCCCTCTTCCCTCTGCACCCCCCAGATCTTCTCCCTGGGCCACTGCCCCAACCAGGACTGGCTGGCAGTCGGCATGGAGAGCAGCAATGTGGAGGTTCTGCACGTCCGCAAGCCCGAGAAATACCAGCTGCACCTTCATGAGAGCTGTGTGCTCGCCCTCAAATTCGCCTCCTGCGGTGGGTCTTCGGGCTGGGCAGGGCTCCAGGGCGCTGGGATGGGGCTGCCAAAACACAGCACACCACAAACAACCCACACGACAGAATACGGCATGCCCGGTGGAATTTGAATCTTAGCAGATCCTTTGTTAGTGTAAGTTTTTCCCAAGTATCACGTTGGGACATACTTACGCTAAAAGCCACTCACTTGTTCATGCAAATATATCCCAAATAGTGCATGAGATATACTTACACTTAAAAAAAAAAGACCCAAACAATTTTTAGTATAAGTATGTCCCAAGTATTGCACGGGACACACCCATATACTAAAAATTAATAATAAATCATGAAACACTTATGGTGCATCTGTACTAAAAGTGACTTGTGGTTTTTCTGAGATTCAAAGGTAACCGGACATACCAGATTTTATCTGGAAGCCCTCTCCTGGGGACTCCCCCTTCTTGAAGTCCAGATGGAGCCCCCTCGGGCCCAGTGTTTCCCTTGTGATAGCAGAGGTGCCAGGAAGGGAGAGGCCAGCCACCCCCCCATCTTCAGTTCCTCCCTCCTAGAACTCCCCCGCCCCCCTTCCCCAGGGCGCTGGTTTGTGAGCACCGGGAAAGACAACCTGCTCAATGCCTGGAGGACACCGTATGGAGCCAGCATTTTCCAGGTACCGCAGGGCAGGGCAGGACGCCGGGCGTCCAGGGGCCCCAGGGTGGCTGCACTGGTGGGTAAACCGTGGAACTTCCCCAGGGTCCTCCAAGTGCCCCCCCACCCCAGCCAGCAAGCTACAAAAGCAGGGTCTGCACACTGTGGCCCGAAGGCCGTATCTGCCTGCAGCCTGGGTTCTTTTTGTGTGTGTGTGTGTGTATTTAACTTCATATAAAATTTACCATCTTAGCCATTTTTAAGTATACCATTCAGTGGCATGAAGCACACTCACCCTGTCCTGCAACCACCCCCACCCTCCGTCTCCAGAACTTTCCATCTCCCCACACGGAGACTCTGTCCCCACGAAGGACAGACTCCCCACCCCCTGCCCCAGCCCCGGCTCCCACCCTCTCCTCTCTGTCTGTGTGGACGGGACTCCTCTGGGGACCTCCTGGGAGTGGGGTCCTCCTGCGGGATGTGTCCTTCTGGGTCTGGCTCCTCTCACTGAGCCCAGTGTCCTCAGGGTCCCTCCGAGTTGTGGCGGGTGTCAGGGTCCCTTCCTTTCTAAGACTGCATCATATCCTCTAGTGTAGATGGGCTGCATTGTACTTACCCATCTACCTGTCGATGGAAACGTGGATTGCTTCCACGTTTTGGCCGCTGTGAATCCTGCTGCTGTGGGCACGTGTTCATCTCTCTTGGGCAGATGTCTCGGAGTGGAATTGCTGATAACTGTGTACCCTTGGGACAAACTACCAGACTGTTTTCCCAATTCTCCACCCCACCAGCAGCGCACGTGGGTTCAAAAGTCTCCCCATCCTCACCGACGCTTCTTACTGTGTGTTTTTTGGTCATAGCCATCCTAGTGGGTATGGGGGGCTGTCTACATTTTTTAAGGGCAGGAAAACAAAAGGAGAATCATGTGACATAGATTTATTTGGCCTCTGGACTTGTTGGCTTGAGACTTACCTGGGCCTTTGGCAAAGCCGGAGAACTTCTCGCTGGGCCCTTTACAGGAACGATTTGCTGCTGTAGGTCGTTGCGCAGCAGCCTTAGCTAGCCCTCCGCTGTGCTGTGTGGCCTCATGCCTATGGCACACTCTGAGCTGCTTACGAAAGGGCAGGGCTTCAGTTCCGTTCCTCTTGGTGTCAGGAGCACAGAGGTCCTGCCCTTCCCAGGAGCACTGTCACTGTCCAGAGGCTTGATTCCAGCAGACCTTCCTCTGGAAAAATGTGTCACCGTCCTTCCCCCCATCGTGTGACCCCCGACTGGGAGAGTCCTGGCCCCCCACTGCGCGCTCCCCTATCCCGAGTCCTGTGTCGGCCCCAGCCTGGATCACAGGCTCCTCCTTGGGGGCAGGCACTCCCCCAGTCGCCCTGCCTCTTCCCTCTGAACGTTGTGCAAGGCCCTGTCTCACCTCCCCCTTCTCTCCCTCCCCCCATCCCTGTCTACAGTCCAAGGAATCATCCTCCGTGCTGAGCTGTGACATCTCCGGAAATAATAAGTACATTGTGACAGGCTCAGGGGACAAGAAGGCCACCGTGTACGAGGTGGTCTACTGAGACCCCCCCATCTTCCTGCACCCTTGGCCCGGCTCCTAGGGGAGGGGCATCCCGGACAGAGACCCCGACAGCCCCGTCTCCGTTCATACCTGTGAGTGCTAAGTCTCGTCTGCCCTCTGGCTGACTCCCTCCCATCTTCCCTTGCTGGACATGGGGCTGGACGGGCAGGTGGACTTTGGGGAAATAAATGTATTTATTGCAACTGCCTTTCTGTCCTGGGCTGGAGAACCAGGACTGTTGCTTTTCTTGGGCACCGTTACTGCGGGAGGGCTGTGTAGCTGTGGGTAAGTGGCTTTCCTTCTCTCAGCCTCCTATGCCTTTTCTGGACGATGAAGGAGTCCGTCCTGCATGAACTAGCGCCGGGTCGGCTGCAAGCGGCAGGTGTGGTACAGGGCAGCACGGCTTAAGTGACCCACGTCACCAGCCGCCCGCGGACCTCAGTGGCTGAACACGACAGACACTGATCCCTCACCTGTGTCCACCTGCCTGGTGGGGCTCGGCTCCCGGCAGACACTCGGAGCTCCCGGATGGTGGAGTTTCTGCCATCACAACATGTAGCTTCAGGGTCCAACATCGCAGGGGCGAGGAAGTCACACGGGCCCTTGGTGCTCTGGCCCCAGAGCTGCCTGGGTCTCTTCTACTGCCAGCCCTTTGGACAGAATCATCCCAAGACGCTGCCCACGTACAATGGGTTGGGGAATATAGTGGCGCACATAGCTCTTTGGGGTGCTTGCCTTTGACCCACGGATAATTCCTGGTGCACGACGACACATTGCCCACCCTAAGGTGCTGAGCAAACACCACAGTCCCAGAGGAGGGGACGGCAAACTGAGAGCTGACAAGGAGAAACAGCCATTTCGTGGGTGTGTGTGTGTGTGTGTCATGCAAGACTGTGGGTACAGAGGGAACAGCATGTGCGGAGGCTCGGAGGTGAGGGGCGAGGCCAGGTGGAAACCAGGCGGGCAGAGAGCCTACGGGAAGTGGGCCAGCCCGGGGGCGGGGCCAGCCTGGGGGCGGGGTGGGACTGGAGCAAACCCGGGGGCGGGGTGGGAGGGGAGTCAGCCTGGGGGTGGGGGGGCCAGCCCGGGGGCGGGGCCATATAATCAGGTCGGCGTTCTGGAAGCTCCGGTGGGCAGCTGTGGAGGGGCTGGGGGTGAAGCCGGGGTGCTGCTGGGAACCTCTTGGACAGAGATGGCGGGGCCCCTCAGGGAAACAAGTCAGACCCAGCTGGAGTTTTGGAGGCACTTTTTGGGGCGAGGATAATTCTTTGGGTAAGGAAAGCAGACAGGTCGGCACCTTCTGGGACGCTTATCCTGGAGGGACAGGGTGAGCAAAGCTGAGGGTGGATGAGAAGCCAGCCAACGAGCGATTGCTGTCGACTACCCTTTCCCCTCCAGGCAGTGGGACCCATCACTCTCTGTGGGGGCGTCCCGGGCAGTGGGGGGCTGAGTGACATCCCTGGCCCCCACTCGCTTGATGCCAGACATACCCCCCCAAGGTCATGATGACCACTAATGTCCACAGATGTTGCCATGTGCCCCCCTGGGGGTTGGGTTCATCCTCAGGTGAGATGCACCAGGGTGTCTTGGGAAGGGTGGGGGAACCCATCCCTGGATGGGAAACCCCCTCTCTGGGAGATGAGGGGACAGGAGGAAGGGGTCCATATCCACCCCCACTCCCAACAGGGGGGTCAGTGGCTTTGAGGAGATTCTCAGGGCTTGTGGACTCCCAGGCTGGGAGACCCAGCTGGTCCAAGTTCTACAAGACAGGTGGGGGACAGGAAAGGACACTCTGCTTTTTTCCAATTGCTTTACTACATGTGCAATGGCAAAGAAACCCGGCCCACCCACCACAAAGCCTCCACCTTGTTGAGGGAAAAGGGCAAAGAAAAAAAAAAATGATCCTGAGTCAGGACGACCATGCCAAGCCCCTCAGTAGGTGATCTGGTACACGGAGGCGTGGTCCTTGGACCCTGTGATGACCAGGCGGTTGTTGGGGGACACATCACAGCACAGGATGGGAGAGGTCTCAGGTACCTGGGAAGGTGGAATGCCAGCATGAGCCGAGGGGGCTCACCCACCCCTACCCCTACCCTCTGCCTGTCAGTTCAAGCCTGGTCCCTCTCAGGACCCCTGCACTCAGCACCCGGGGCCGAGCACTGCCCCCGCCACCCCGCGCCTGGCCCGCAGTGGTACCTGGAACACCATGGTCCCCGCGGGCATGCCGTAGATGCTGACCAGGTCGTCCATCCCAACGCTCACCCACCACTGGCCTGGGATGGGGAGGAGGAGACCGGGTGGTGGGAAATCTGGCGGCTGAGGGCAGGGCCCGTTGGGGACCTGGGGCACAGAGGTAGCCCCCCACCTCCCTCATGACCCCATGGACACCATCACTGAGAGGTTTCTGCTGATGAAGGGCGGTGGTTAGGAAGGGTGGGACCGGACCCTGTGGGAGGCTGGGGGCCACAGGGGACTCCCCCACCCCCTCCTGGCCACTCACCGAGCGGAGAGAACTTGAGACCCAGGATGGTGCTGTCCTTACACCCCACCATGTGCTTCTGGCCCCCTCGGGTGGGCTGCAGCCACTGTTGGCCATTGGCTGTGCCCACCAGAACCCAATCCTCCCGGGGACTGGGGGACAGGCTCATTATCTGGGGAGTGGGTGGCAGGGAAGAGGCCAGTCAGGTCCCAGCCGGGCCTGAGAGGTGGTCACGGGCACAGGGACCCACCCTGGGGGCTGACCTCCTTCCAGCTTCCTGGCTTCGAGGCCCTGACAAGCAACCTCACACCTCTGGACCTCAGTCTGCTCATCTGTCAAGTGGGTTGGTCCTCTTTACCTTAAGGGACTAAATGGGGCATGGGCACTCGATACAGAATCTGAAAGTGTCCAGTGTTATCGGGGCCCAGTGGGGTGGGGGGAGAGGACATTTCTCATGACCCTATTCTTGCCAGCACTGATCAGACGTGGGGTCCTACTACCCCCTTCCCCCCCCCAACCGCCGCAACATCCACCTCCTTCTCTAGCCCAAGGCCCATCCCAGCCCACACACCTGAGACTCGAATTGGTATTCCAGGGGCTCCCCGGGGGTCCTCAGGTCCCAGCACCGCAGGTAGGTGTCCAGGCCTCCCGTCCAGATGTTCTGGTCTTTGATAGCAATGCTCTTGGCTCCATTTGGGGCACCCTGCAGGTCCCTGACCAGAAGCGGTATGCAGAAGGGGTTGGGGCTGAGACTCTGAGCCCAAGCCCCAGGAATACCACCCATGCAATCACACTCAGGTGACAGATGGGGAAACTGAGGCTGACAACAAGTACCATGATTGGGCTCTGAGGAAACCCAGTCAGAATCTGAACTCAGGCCCCCAACACTCTCAAATGCAAATTTAAGCAGTCAAGGGGCTCTTAGCCTTGGGACTGCTGGATCCCTGCTCAGGGCCTGAGGTGGGAAGGGGCTTTCAGGATGAGCCCACCCAGCCCTGGGCTTCACCTGACAACGCTCCGGTCCCGCAGGTCCCAGATCCTGACTGTGCCGTCCGTGAAGCCAGCGAAGGCCAGGGTGTCCTCGGGGCCGAAGGCCAGGGCCTGGCAGGTGAGGCCTGCACAGGGCAGCTCGTCGCTCACACGTAGGGAGGGCGCAGTCAGGTCCCACACGCTCACACTGGCCAGGTTGTGGCCGCCCGTCAGCAGGGCTGTGCTGGTCGGGGCCAGCAGGCAGGTGCGCAGGTAGGCCTGGTGGGTCTGGGGCAGGCACAGATGCAGCTGAACGTCCTCCGCTGCAGGAGCTCTGCTCCCATGAGCCCCGCCCCCAGAGCCAGCCCCTCCCTGACCTGTACACGCAGGTGGCTCTCAGGATACTGGTCCTCTAGCCCCTGGCCCACCAGGCTCCACACTTTGACGCCGCCCCGGCCACAGGTGAACGCGTGTCGCGTGAAGCTGCTGACGGCCGTGGCCAGCACCGGCTCCCCATGCTTTAGCGTCCGCACCTTCTCCACTCCATGTGGGATGGCTGCCTTCTTGGATTGCCAGGGCAAGGCATCTGGTCTCTTGCACATGTCTTCGAAGTCCTCAGGGTCCCAGCATCTTGGGAGGGGAGGCCTCGGGGTTACCGGCCTACCCGGGAGCCTCTCTGCCCGCAGGGGGCCCCCCTCAAGCCTGAGGAGCTTCATTCTTCTTCAGATGTGGGGGTTCTCGCTCAGGCCTCGTTTCCCTACTACACGGGCTCCCCCCAAGGGGCTGCCCATGCCCTTTCCAGTACATTCTCCCTCTCCTAGAACCAAACATCACTCCCCTCCACCTAGAATGCTTTGCCCCATCCTAGCAAACTCCTACTCATCCATCAGAATCCTAACCATTATGCCCCTTCCCCCCAGGAAAGCCTTCTCGTCCCCCTCTGGGCTCCCCCAGCCTCTGACCACAAGCTTGGGACTGTCTGTATCTAGCTCTAACACCTCTCCATGGGAGTTCTTTCCCCAAATCCCTGGAACCCAGAGCTAGTTATGTGGGGAGGGACAGTGATGCTAGCCTGATGGTAACTACCCAGTCCCCTCAGCTCTGGGTATTGAGCACAGTAGCAGGGTCGTGGGGGAGGGGAAGACACACCTGCACCTCCAGTCCCCTCTCTGCCAGGGACAGAAGTACAGACAACAGGAACAACATAGAGACTTACATGGGCTTCAGGAACGGATAGGCTCTCCCAGCAGGTTCCTGTGATGGGACCAGGATCACGCAGAGCCATGTCAGCTCCCTTTGCCCCAGCCCTCTCAGCCTTCATGGAGGCTGACACTGAAGATGGGGCCTCACCTGGGCCACATCGGGGGAGAGCATCCCCTCTGCGTCCGGGCCTGGCTCTGCGCTCCCTTCTTGGGAGCCCTCGGGGGAGCTGGGGGAGGGCGCGGGTCGGCTGGGCACTGGTTGGAGGTGAGACAGATGAGTGGCAGGTGTGGGCTCCTCGGGGCAGGCTCCCCCCCCCCCATTCTGGCACATAGGAAGCCTGACTGTAATTCCAGCTCTGCAGAAAGCTGGGGCCTTCTTTCCTAATCAGAGGGCAGGCCCCCCCCCCCCGCCCCCTCACCGGGATTACCCAAAGTGTTTTTGCTTGGTTCCAGTCCCAAGTCGTGTGGTCCTGGGTCCTGGCTCTCCTGCCCACGGGAATTGGGGCGATCAGGTCAGACCAAAGGACCTGCCCAGGGTCGGTCTTAGACCCAGAAAACGTTGGGGAGGTCCAGGCAGTGTAGACAAACTCGTCAACAGCCCCAAGTCCCCAGGCCCGAGTCCTCTAAGGGAATCCGGGGCTGAGGACGGAAGCCATGGACTGACTCCACAGGAAGCCGGACAACCCGGCCTGAGGGCCCACCCCTCCAGGTGCCGCAGAGTGACTCACCAGGCCTGGCGTCTGCTCTGTCACTGGTACAACCGAGGGGGAACCAGCAGAACAACAGGATTCAACAGTGTTGTTCCTGGGTGCTGTCGCCGGACACAGCCCCAGGCCACCCCCATCCCCCACCCCCAGGGAGACTCACTCCTGCGTCGCAGCCGGTCCTTCTTGTGGGTCCCCGCAAAGATCTGCCAGAGTTGCTCGGTCAGAACATCCTGCCAAAACCGGGGCTCAGAGTCCCAGGTGGGCTGTGTGTCCGGCTGGCAGATGGGGGCGGCATCGGTTCCGCAGGGCTGCCGGAGCCAGTCTGAGGACCTTGCAGCCAGGACATCTTCGAAGGGTGGCCCCTGGAACCCGGGGGGCTGTGGGGGTCTCGGCCACTGGGTGCGGGGAAGCCTCAGGGCTGGTCGGCACCCCCAGGAGTCCAGGTCGGCCTGCTCCCCAGAGGTGCCCAGGCTCGTCTGTACTGCAAAGCCCAGGGGTGTGAGGGGCAGCTCTGAGCTGGTCCCCTCCCTCCTCCAGGGCCCAGGCACCCACCTCCCCAGGCTGGAAGCCCAGCGGTCGGCTCCAGGTCTCCATGGTCCGCAGGAAGTTCTCTGCCTAGACGGGGAGGGCGGGGGCGGGGAGGAGAGGACACATCCCAGCTCAGCCTTTGTCATCAGACAGCCTGGGTGCAGACCTCCTCCCGCAAGCCGGCTTCCCAGTCTGTGAAATGGGGATACACAGCCTGCTTTGAAGGTTTTGGGGTGGATTCGTGATATGCAGAGCCCTCCCCACTACACAGAGCGTAAAGCAAGTTCTTCGTACCCAGAACTCCGCAGCCCAACCCTGAGGGCTGATCATCAGCATCAAGTGGTAGAAAGTAGGGTCCAATCTGGGTTCCCCTCCCAGTTGCTTTTCTTAGGAGGTTTGAAAACTAGAGCCACAGGCGCCTGAGGGGCTCAGTTGGTTAAGCATCTGCCTTCCGCTCAGGTCATGATCCCAGGGTCCTGGGATCGAGCCCCATACCTGGCTCCCTGCTCAGCGGGGAGTCTGCTTCTCCCTCTCCTTCTGCCCCTCCCCTCTGCTCGTGTTCTCTCTCAAATAAATAAAATCTTTAAAAAAATAAAAAGAAAGAAAACTAAAGCCTCAACACCACTCTGCTTAAAACGGCTTCAAGAAGGAAATTCATGGGTACCTATGTTCCTCTGTGTGGGGGCATCTGAATTTGCTTAAGTGTTGGGAGGATGCTCAGAAACCAGTGATCACCTCTTAGGGAAGAGGGCGGGCAGGAGGACAACACGGGACCCCCGTGGGAAGGTCACGGTCCTTTATTTTATACTTAAAAACCAGGCCACGTGACTACCAGCAATTCCAAATCGAAGTGAACAGTTTCTATGGGCCTGGAAGGGCCTGAGAGATCTAAGTTCCCTTCTTCTACCTAACCAACAGGCATCTGCCTGTCCTTTTAGGAGACATACTCCTTCCTCGAGACACAGCGGCCAGCCACAGATGGCTATTAAATATAAAGCTAAGTCCAGTGAAAAATGCAATCTCTCCAGTCCCACTCAAGTGCTCAACAGCCACATTGGGCTAGTGGCCGCCAACGTGGATGGCACAGGTGCCAAGAACAGGGGTCCCTAGTGCGTGCCTGGCGTCCAGGCTGAGGGTAGACCCGGCGAGATGGGAGCCTCCTGGCCAGTGTCCCCAGAAATTCAGAATGGGGAGACCCAGCTTCTGGGGCTGATGAGGAGCTCTATGGGAACGTGCATGTGTGCAGCTATATTTAGTGACAGCAGGAACGTTCTAGGCCTGCCTGTCTAATGCAGTAGCTGCTAGCTTCACGTGGCTGTTGAGCACTTGAAACGTGGCTGGTGCCACTTGTTTTAAGGTCAACTTCAGTTTAAATAACCACACGTGTCCCGCGGCCACCAGAGAAGACAGCCCAGGTCTGGTCTATGGTCTGCGCGCCCCAAGCAGCGATCGATGCACGCCCCTCTGTGGTGGACCCCAAGAAGCTCCCCAGAGTGCTCTGGCCCAACGCAAACTCCCCAATCCTGGGAAAAACATCCTGATTCACAAAGAAAGAAGGAATAAAGCAATGTAGCGTCCGTGCCAACTGCGGCCGGTCCTAGCTCCCAGGAGCTCCTGGCATTCCCATTTTGCAGATGAGAAAACAGAGGCCCAGAAAAGCAAAGCCAATTTCCCCAAATCAGGAGGAACAGGGGCCAGGCAGTGTTTACCTGCTTCCATCCGCAGGCCGCCGGGTCAGGCAGGCAGAATAGCGAGGGAGGGGTCGGGCAGCGGGGACCCCCTCTCTGAGCCCACACCTCCTGCGGCAGCCGGTGATGGGTTCCCCAGCTGGGCCTCCCAGAAGCACAGACCCAGGGGAGCCTTCCCCAATTCGCCCCGGCTCGTTAATGCGCAATTTACTGGCACTTGAATGCACTCAGCATGAAAAGCGCTGCTCCCTCCTGCCTGCTAGCTGGCCCTCCCTGGGGAGAGCGCGGTGCTGGCGGGGCGGCGGCCACTGCGGGGGATTTTCAATGCACAGCAGGGGGGTTGGGAAAACCTGGAGCCCAGACAGAGGGGAGAAGACAGCGGGGAGTCTCGGCGGAGCTCCAGGGCCAGCAAGGCCCCTGGGGTGAACAGCAACTCTCTGGGGCAAGACCCCCCTCACATCCTTATGTTGGGATCACCCCTGAATCCACAATCTGATCAGTTCTCCCCACACCTCACCCAGATGGTCCTGTTCTCCTGCCCTGCGCCCAGAGTCTCTCCTCCAGAGGGCGCCCGTGAGCACAACTCAGGTTCGGCCTCCCTCTGCCCACAGCCCTCCAGGGCACCCACTTCAGCCCAAATCCTCTCCAGGGCCCCCAAGATGCCACAGGACCTGCCCTGTCCCCTCCTTGCCCTCCCCTCCTCACTGCTCCAACCACAGGGGTCTCCTCTCTGTCCCTCCCACACACCAGGCACTGTCTTGCCCCAGGACCTTCACATGGGCTGTGCCCTCTGTTCCTCCCATCCCAAACAGCTGCACTCCCTCTCTGATCTCCTTCAAGACTTTGCTCAAATGTCACCTTCTCGGAAAGCCTTGCCACTCCCACCCCTTCCCGCGTGTCCCCTTGGGCTGCTGTAATCCATCCCTGCACCTTGCCCAGCCCCCACCATTGGACACTTCTGTTTACTAAGCTCCCATCACCCCAAGGGCAGAGGTTTGTCTGTGTCCTTCTTTGCAATTTCCCTGGCACCTACAACAGCACTTGGCAAGAAGGTGATGGATAAATATCTGTTGAATGAATAACTGTGTTCTGGCTGCTTCCTGGCCCCCCTCACTCTGGATCCGTCTCTCCCGGTTCCCTGCACTGCCCACCCCGGGCCCTGCTGAGTTGCAGACACGGCCCTGGCCTTCTGCCACTCACATCTGGTACAGGCAGACAATCCTGCCAGCACCCAGGAGAAAGGGGCCAGGTGGCGGGAGGACAGGCGGGAGTGGAAGACGTGCTTCAGCTTGGGCAAGGCGCCCTGTGCTGGGAGCCTGGGGCCCCTGTGCAGACCTGCCCCCCGCCCCCCCCAGCTCACGTGTGATCCAGGCCCCCGAGAACGCTCAGACACATGGAAGGCCGGAATCCGGGTGCGCCTGGCACATAACAGGCCCTTCATAGTGGAAGCAACTGACCTGCAACGTGCTGGAAAGGCCCCTGGCCTCATGTGAGCCACGCAGGGACCCGGGAGCAGGCCAGGAAGGAAGAGCCTCCGAGAGGGTGGGAGACGCACCCGGAAGGGGTGTGTGTGTGTGTGTGTGTGTGTGTGTGTGTGTGTGTGTGTGTGTTCGGGGGGGGGGGGCGGATCCACTGATCGCTGGGAGATCCCAGGTCAGGTCCTGCCCCCCTCTGCCCACAGTCCTCCAGGGCTCCCACCTCCTTCAGATAAAAGCCCTCCCCGCCCCATCCCCACAGGGCCCCCACCACCTGGCCCTGTCATGGCCTCTCTCCCTATATTTTCCTGCCTTTCAAGGAGGGGCGGCTATACCCCAGCTCCTGGTTACTCACTCACCTGCTTGTGATGTTCCTGGAGACCCTGCCGGATCTTCTGGAGCTGCAAGAGAACAGCACGGGTCACACTGGGAGGCGGCTGACCGAGGTGGACAAGAGTGAGGAGTCAAGTGCTCTGCATGCTTCTCCCCAACTGTGTGGCCCCAGACAAGCTGCTCGACCTCTCTGGTCACTACATTCAAAGGTGATACCACCTACCACACAGAGTGGAAGCTAATTAGGGAGGCCCTTGGATTTCATTCTTGATGTGGAGTTCAAAGCCTCCCCATAATCACAAGGCCCTGCACACCCGCCCCCATCCATTCCCTCCTCTCCTCCCTCTGCTCCAACCACAAGGGCTTCCTCACTCATTCCTCCAACACACCAAGCCCAGTCCTGCCCCAGGGCCTTTGCACAGGCTGTGCCCTCTGCCCGGAATGCCCTTCCTTGCTCTCTCAGGGAAGGTAGAACCTCCGTATCTTCCCTTTCTCCCCGTGAACATCACTTCTTCCAAGAAGCTTTTCCTATCTTAGTGCAAAATCTTCACTTATGTCAACCCCACCATCTTCTGTCTTCTCTATAGTGTTCACATTTTGTGAATCCCATTTCTCTACTTACTCGTCTCTCTCTTCCCCCTAGGGGTGCCCTGTCCATGGAGCTAGCCACTAGTCAGCTGTGGCTATTTAAATTTTATTAAGTTAAAAATTCATTTCCTCACAAGCTCTCAATAGCCACATGTGGCCGGCGGGTGCCATATTGGGCACTGTTGCTATAGAACATTCCCATCACTGCAGAAAGTTCTAGAAGACAGCACCACACTAGCACCTATGCTCCTCACGAGCAGGGACTCCTGTTACCCATCCCAACAATGAGCTGTCAGCCACAGAAACGCTTTCTGTAAATACGGAATTTCTAACTTTTGCAGCAAGGTTAGTACTCATGAGGAAGAATGCTCTTGAAGAAGCTGGCCTGCACGGGTGACCTCGCTCGCCCAAAGGAAGCAGAAACAAGTGGAGGAGAAGGTGTCCCCAAACCCGGCTCCCGAGGCCAAAGGCAACAGCCCCTGCAGGCTGTCTGGGGGCTGCCCAGGGCTGCCTGGTGTGGCTCACCGCCGAGTACACGCTCTCCACCTGCGCCGTCAGGTGAGGGGGGAACCTGAGGGGAAGGAAACCGCACAGAGCCCTCAAGACCCCTCCCCGGAACCAGCCCCGCCCCCGCCTGGCCAGGGCCCCCCCACTCCAAGGAGCCACCCCAAGGCGGCGTCAGAGATGCCATTTTAGTGCAGTGTTTTTAAACATATAATCGATGCAAGTAACTTCACACTAAACCAGGGCAACTCGAAAATTTTAAATGAAGGCCAGGATTGGTACCAGTGGTTTTCCTTTTGCTTCAGGCTCCCTCATTCCTAGTTCTGTCTTCTGGGCCAGGGGTTCCTGGGCCCCCCAAGAGACCAGAGGGGACGCTCTCCCTCCCTCCGTGGGCCACGGCGGGACCTCCAGCCCCTGAGAGTTGCCCTCACCTGGGGAACTCTTGCCGGAGCTGATCCAGGATACCCCGATAGTTCGGTTCAGAAGGAGCCTGGGAAGGTCACAGGAGACTGTAGACAACCCCAGCCTGCCGCTCTCCCACCCTCAGGCCCTGTCTCCAATCAGCCCCCCAGGGGGTGGGCTGGGACCTCCTGAAACCTGAAGGGAATTTGCTCTCTGATTACTTAAGTCCCCACGGAGTATCTTCCAATTTGCCTCCTGGCCTAAGGTCTCAAATACGGACTCTCTGGAGAGCCCTTGAGAGAGAAAGTTTGCCCACCCCGGCCTCAACTATTGAAAAGGGTCAACTCTGGAGGAGGGGGGCTTCTGCCTGTAAAATGTTAACCAGGGATGATGTAGTCATGTGTTTTATCACCTGGGCGATGAGAAGCAAGTTTAATTTAAAAAGAAA